GAAACATTGAGAATGAAAAACTTGAAAAATCGAAAAATTGAAACATAAAAAATGTGAAAATGTAAAAATTAAAAATTGAAAATTCATGAAATTGCAAAATCTAAAAATTGAATCATCAAAAAATTGGAAAATAAAAAAACTAAGATTTATAAATGAAAACGTAAAACTGAAGAAACAAAAAAAATTGAAAAATTGCAAACCGTAAAACTGAAGAAATGAAAAATTGAAAAAGTAATGAAACTAAAAAACCGAAACGAACAGTGGAAATAAAAAATTATGTGAAATGAAGAATTGAAGAATCGAATAATTGAAAAATTAAAAATCGAAAAATTGAAAACTTGACTAAATGAAAAAGTTTTAAAATTCTATAATTGAAAAATGGAACAATTCTAAAATCGTAAAATTGAAAAAGTTACAAATTATTATTATTGCATATTTAAACTGAAAATTAGAAAAATTACAAATCAAAAATTGAAGAAACGAAAAATTGAAAAAATCGAAACTTGAAAAAAAATTTAAAAAGTTGAAAGTTTTGCTGAAACATCCAAAAAGTGGAAAACAGAAAACAGAAAAATTTAAAAATGAAACCTGGAAGAATTGCATTGAAAGATCTAAAAGTTGAAAAGTCAAAAAATTAAAAAACGGAGAATTCGAAATCCAAAAATTGAAAAATCCAAAAACTGAAAAAAATTATAAAATCAGAATATTGAAAAACCGAAAATTGGAAAAATAAAGAAAATAAAAAGCTGAAACGAAAAATTGAAATCCTTAAAATTGAAAAATTCAAAAGTTGGAAAACAGACAAACTGAAAAATTTTAAAATGAGAACTCGAAGAATTGCATGTCGTAAAACTGAAGAAATAAAAAAATAGAAAATTAGAAATGCAAATCGAGAAAGAAAAATTGAAAAAATAAAAAACCGAAAGGTAAAATTACAAATCGAAAATTTGAAGAAATGAAAACTGAAGAATCAAAAATCTAAAAATGGAAAAATCCAATAAAGGAAAAAGTTTAAAAACCGAGTAACGAATTCTAAAATCGTAAAATTGGAAAACTCCAAAATTCTTAAAATCATTACATTAAACTAAAAAAATTGCAAATCAAAAATTGAAGGAACAAAAAACTGAAAAAAACGAAAGACTAAAAGGTCTAAAAGTTGAAAAATCGAAGAATTGAAAAGTCGACTAAATGAAAAAGTTTTAAAATTCAATTATTGAAAAATGGAAAGATTTTAAAATCGTAAAATTGAAAAAGTTAAAAATTATTATCATTTAAAACTAGAAAAATTGCAAATCAAAAATTGAAGAAACGAAAAATTGAAAAAATCGAAAATTGAAAAAAGAACAATTAAAAAGTTAAAAGTTATTTTCAAATTGAAAATTGAAAAATCATAGAATCAAAACATTGCAAAACCGAAAAATGGAAAAATTAAAGAAAATAAAAAACCGAAACGAAATTGCACATTGAAAAATTGAAATTGAAAAATTGTGAAATTGAAACTTTTAAAATTAAAAAATCTAAAAACTGAAACCTGCAAAAATTGGAAAACAGAAAACCTGAAAAAATTTAAAATGAAAACTGGAAGAATTACATTAAAAGATCTAAAAGTTGAAAAATCGAAAAATTAAAAAACGAAAAATTCCAAATCCAAAAATTGAAGAATCCGAAAAATGAAAAAAATTATAAAATCAGAATATTGTAAAACCGAAAATTGGAAAAGTAAAGAAAATAAAAAGCTGAAAAAACCGAAAGGAAAAATTACAAATCGAAAATTTGAAGTAATGAAAAACTGAAGAATCGAAAAATCTAAAAATTGAAAAATCCAATAAAGGAAAAAGTTTAAAAAATGAAAAATTCTAAAATCGTAAAATCGGAAAACTGCAACATTCTTAAAATTATTACATTAAACTAAAAAAATTGCAAATCAAAAACTGAAGGAACAAAAAACTGAAAAAAAAACGAAAGACTACAAGATCTAAAAGTTGAAAAGTTCTAAAAATTAAAAAACGGAGAATTCCAAATCCAAAAACTGAAAAAAACAATAAAATCAGAATGTTGAAACACCGAAAATTGGAAAAATAAAGAAAATAAAAAGCTGAAACGAAAAATTGAAAGTCTAAAAATTGAAAAATTCTAAAGTTGAAAAACAGAAAAACTGAAAAATTTTAAAATGAAAACTCGAAAAATTGCAGGTCGTAAAATGAAAAAAACAAAAAAATACAAAATTGGAAAACGCAAATCGAAAAAGAAAAACCCGAAAGCAAAAATTAAAATCGAAAATTTGACGAAATGAAAAACTGAAGAATCGAAAAATGTAGAAAAGGAAAAAGTTTAAAAATTGAGTAACGAAAAAATGGAAAAATTCTAAAATCGTAAAATTGAAAAACTGCAAAATTCTTAAAATTATCACATTAAACTAGAAAAATTGCAAATCACAAATTGAAGGAACAAAAAACTGAAAAAAACGAAAGATTAAAAGATCTAAAAGTTGAAAAATCGAAAAATTGAAAACCGAAAAATTCCAAATCGAAAAACTGAATAATCCAAAAACAGAAAAAATTCACTTTGAAAAAAATATATAAAATCAGAAAATTGAAAAACCGAAAAATTGGAAAAATAAAGAAAATAAAAAACTGAAACAAAAAATTGACGAAATGAAAAATGAAAAAATCGAAAATTTAAAAATTGGGAAATCCAATAAAGGAAAAAGTTCAAAAATCGAATAATAAAAAATGGAAGCATTCTAAAATCATAAAATTGGAAAAGTGCAACATTTTTAAAATTATTATACCAAACTATGTAGAAAAATTGCAAATAAAAAATTGAAGGAAGAAAAAATATAAAAATCATTAAACTGAAAAATCAGAATACTGAAAAACCGAAACATTGGAAAAATAACGAAAATGAAAAGCTGAAACGAAAAACTGAAAGTCTAAAAATTGAAAAATTCAAAAGTTGAAAAACAGAAACACTGAAAACTTTTAAAATAAAAACTCGAAGAATTGCATGTCGTAAAATGAAAAAAAAAACAAAAAAATAGAAAGTTGGAAAACGCAAATTGAAAAAGAAAAACCCGAAAGCAAAAATTAAAATCGAAAATTTGAAGAAATGAAAAACTGAAGAATCGAAAAATCTAAAAATTGAAAAATCCAATAAAGGAAAAAGTTTAAAAATCGAGTAACGAAAAAAATGGAAAAATTCTAAAATCGTAAAATTGGAAAACTGCAAAAATTCTTAAAACTATTACATTAAGCTAGAAACATTGCAAATCAAAAATTGAAGGAACAAAAAACTGAAAAAGACGAAAGATTAAAAGATCTAAAAGTTGAGAAATCGACACATTGAAATGCGAAAAATTCCAAATCGAAAAACTGAAAAATCCAAAAACTGAATAAATTCACTTTGAAAAAAATATATAAAATCAGAATATTGGAAGCCGAAAAATTGGAAAAATAAAGAAAATAAAAAACTGAAACGAAAAATTGACGAAATGAAAAATGGAAAAATCGAAAAATTTAAAAATTGGAAAATCCAATAAAGGAAAAAGTTCAAAAATCGAATAATAAAAAATGGAAGCATTCTAAAATCATAAAATTGGAAAAGTGCAACATTTTTAAAATTATTATACCTAACTATGTAGAAAAATTGCAAATCAAAAATTGAAGGAAAAAAACATATAAAAATCATTAAACTGAAAAATCAGAATATTGAAAGACCGAAAAATTGGAAAAATGACGCAAATCACAAATTGAAAGAACAAAAAACTGAAAAAAACGAAAGATTAAAAGATCTAAAAGTTGAAAAATCGAAAAATTGAAAACCGAAAAATTCCAAATCGAAAAACTGAAAAATCCAAAAACCGAAAAAATTCACTTTGAAAAAAATATATAAAATCAGGATATTGAAAAACCGAAAAATTGGAAATAAAGAAAATAAAAAACTGAAACAAAAAATTGGCTGCAGAAAAAATGGAAACATCGAAAAATTTAAAAATTGAAAAATCCAATACAGGAAAAAGTTCAAAAATCGAACAATAAAAAATGGAAACATTCTAAAATCGTAAAATTGGAAAAGTGCAACATTTTTAAAAATATTATATCAAACTATGTACAAAAATTGCAAATCAAAAATTGAAGAAAGAAAAAATATAAAATTCATTAAACTGAAAAATCAGAATATTGAAAAACCGAAAAATTGGAAAAATAAAGAAAATAAAAAACCGAACCGAATATTGTAAATCGAAAAATGCAAAAATCGAAAAATTGCAAAGTCAAAAAAATTGGAAGATTCAAAATTTGGAAAATCGGAAAACTGAAAAATTTAGACTTGAAAATCCAAGTCAAAAAAGCTGCGAAAGTGGTATTTACGCCACTGGTTTTTCCTTTATAGAGATTATTATCAGTAAACAAAAATCGCAAAAAAAGCAATTTTTCGAAGAAACGGGATTTGTTGGGCTGCACGTCAGGAGCGAGAGAGGTTCTATGGAAGTAATCTTCGACACATTTTTTTATTAAATTCCCCTCGTATATACGGGATGTATAAATTTTTATGGCGTTGTTAATAAATAAGTGGAATAAAATACAAGCGTCTAATGATTTCCCTAATGATTTCCATATGATTGACCGTTTTTCCATAGTTGTGTCAAGGTCGTTGAAACATCTATAGTTTCCAAGCTAAATTTATTCAACGTAAGAAGAATACGGATTACCTTGATATTTAACCAAATATAGCGTTCCTAAATATTTTTTAATCCTGTGTGTGTCGTGCAACCAACTCAGAAAAAACTAGTTTAAGTACTTACAAAGTCATCTTCTAGCGTCACGTAATATTGTTGCGGTTAATCGTTTTTTTTTTTTCGAAATCTTACAAAATAACCCAAATTGTCGAACCGACAAGGTCCCCATAATAATTAATTATTATCCATTTCATCATAAAACCCCACAACCGCGTGAAAATGACTCGAACTTTCAACCCCTAATCCGCAATCAAAACTCCCTTACCGCAGCATCAGGCTTAAGAGCATTCAGAAACTCCGCACTGATCTTCCACTTGTGCACCGCAAACCAGGGGGTGCCGACGTACGTGTCCCCGGCGTTCAGGAACAGCACCGGACTGCCCCCGGTCTTCGCCGCCTCCCGGTACTTCCGGATCTCGTGCGCCGTCCTCGCGAATCCTCCGACGCACCCGTCCGCATCCTTCGCCCCTCCGGCGGGCGTTTTGTCCTTGCAGGTGCCCGAGTTCCGGGCCGTCTCCTCGAAGCGGCCGTGGATGTCGTTGTTGTGCAAGATGACGAGGCGGAAGGCGTCTTCGGCGGACGCGCCGACCACTAGGAGCACTGTCAGGAGCAGGTAAAGCGGCCGCATGTCGGCGGTTTGCGGTCGCGTGCGACCGGTCGTACCGCAGCCTTCGAGCGGACTGCTCGCTGGAACTGCGATGCCACCACGACCTGGTGCTCACAATTGAATGACTGATGGATTTTTAGATTGGCCTGCATCGTTATGCCGCAAGTTCATTACGAGCGGTGACGGCGAGAGGTGCGGATTTCGGGCTAAATATAAGTCGACCGAGAGGCGGTGTAGCTTTTGTTGTGCATTTGGTGGATTGTCAGTGTCAAATAATTTCAGAAGAAAATGTCAACACTTGTCCTACTGTGACAAAAAGTTGCAGTAAAATAATATCCGAAACTAGTAGACCGGTTGTTATCAAATTTTATACAGAGTGGCTAAAAAGAATGGAAGCAGTTGAATATCTCGGGAACGTTTAACTGGATCTTCATGAAATTTGGGCTATATGTAAAAATACTCAGGCTCTATACTTTAACAAATACCTCAAATTTTTGCAACAAAGTATTATTCCTCGACTTAGGCAAATATTCCCCAACTATGGAAACCCAAATTTACCTGCAGAATCCATCTGCGGCATTACTTTTTTCTAGAAGGTGGATAGGACGAAGGGGCGCAGTTGAGTGACCAGCTAGGTCACCCGATTTAACCCCACTTGACTTTATTCTATGGGGTTATGTAAAAAATCGAGTTTATCTTAATAGACCACAAAGCATCGAAGAACTCCAAGAAAGAATATTAAATGTGATTACTCATTTCCTCCTAATATGCTGACAAATTCATTTGTAAACTTTGTGCGACTATTTACTCTTGCCAGGAAGTAAATGGATAACATTTCGAACATTTGTTGTAAAATAATTGTTTTTTAAATGTAAATTTGATCTTTTTTCAATAATGTAATTTTTTTATTTAAATAGAAAAAAAGATTCAACAAACCGTTGTCACGATATTCATCTGCTTCCCTACTTCGTTAGGAATATCGTGTACACGTTAAACGCTAACCAAAATTGGTCTAATCGTCTCTTGATCGCGCCACCTCAAAATTGTGCATAGTAACTGTTGTTGACATTTTACAAAATAACACAGTCCTGTACTTGTGGTTTATGAATCCGCTTTGAGTTTTCACCATAAACATCCAGATTTTGGAAAAATATTCAAATTCGGCATTTTTTAACTTATGTCATAAAAAAGTTCTGTTTAAACAAACTTAGACACATTTTTTGTTATTAGTAAGGCCGGCAGTGGTGAAGGTCAACGCTAACTACACTTGCGCTTTCTTTTAAATTCTATTAATTATTATCAATTTAATTACCATATAATTATCAACTGGATCATTATTAATTACATAGGTCTGCGATTGACAAATTATCTGGAATCTAACTATCTGGTATTTTGAATGGAGTTTTTCGTGTTGAAAAAGAGAAAAATATTTAAAAAAATTGGTCGAAGATTCCCGTTTCTTTGAAACATTTTTCGATTTGTAATCTCTGTTTTGGTTTTTTATTTTCTTTATTTTTCAGTTATCCGATTTTTCAATGCTTCGTATGCAATTTTTCTGTTTTTCGTTTTTCAAGGGTCTTGAATTGAACGATATGCAATTCTTCTAGATTTTATTTTAAATTTTTTAGAGTTTCCCGATTTAACAACTTTTGGTTGTTCCGATTTTTAGATTTGTAGTTTCCGGAGTTTTCAATTTTTAATTTTTCCATTTTTCGTGTCTTCAATCTTCCATTTGCAATTTTTCATTTCGGTTTTTTATTTTCTTGTTTTTTTTCAATTTTTCGGTTTATGAATGTTCTGAATTTATAGTTTATCTCTTTTTTTCAATGTCAAATTCGTCAATTTTTCAATTTGCAAATTTTCGGTTTTCAATTTTTCGATTTTTCACCGTTTGGGTTATATAATTTTTCTTCTTTTCAATTTTATATTTTTCAGTTTCTCGATTTTCCAACTTTTGGTTGTTTCGATTTTTAGATTTGTAATTTCATGAGTTTTCAATTTTTAATTTTTCAATTTGTCATATCTTCAATTTTCCATTTGCAATTATTCATTTCGTTTTTCCATTTTCCTCATTTTTTCAATTTTTCAAATTTTCCGTTTTTGAATGTTCTAATTTTATAGTTTTTCTTTTTTTTTTCAATGCCAGATTTTTCAATTTTCGATTTTTTCATGAGTTTTCAATTTTTCGATTTTTCAAGTTTTGGATTATTTAATTTTTCTTTTTTTTTCAATTTTAGAGTTTTCATTTTCGCGATTTTCCAACTTTTGGTTGTTTGGATTTTTAGATTTGTAATTTCATGACTTTCAGTTTTTAATTTTTCAATTTATCGTATCTTCGATTTTCCATTTACAATTTTTTAATTCGGTTTTTTATTTTCTTCATGTTTTCAATTTTTCGGGTTTTGAATGTTCTGATTTTACAGTTTTTCTTTTTTTTTCAATGCCAAGCTTTTCAGTTTTTCAATTTTTCAATTTGCAATTTTCTGTTTTCAAGTTTTTGATCTTTCAACTTTTAGACTTTTTAATTTTTCCGTTTCGCGATTTTCCAACTTTTGGTTATTACGATTTTTCAACTTTTGGATTATTTAATTTTTCTTTCTTCAATTTTAGATTTCTCAGTTTCTCGATTTTCCAACTTTTGGTTGTTTCGATTTTTAAATTTGTAATTTTATGAGTTTTCAATTTTTAATTTTTCAATTTATCATATCTTCAATTTTCCATTTGTAATTTTCATTTGTTTTTTATTTTCTTCAATTTTTCGGTTTTTGAATGTTCTGATTTTACAGTTTTTCTTTTTTTTTTCAATGCCAAATTTTTCAATTTTCGATTATTCAATTTTTCGATTTGCAAATTTTCGGTTTTTTTAACTTTTGAGTTATTTAATTTTTTTCTTTTGCAATTTTAGATTTTTCAGTCTATCGATTTTCCAACTTTTGGTTGTTTCGATTTTTAAATTTGTAAATTTATGAGTTTTCAATTTTTAATTTTTCAATTTTGCAATTTTTCATTTCGGTTTTTTATTTTCTTCATTTTTTCAATGTTTCGGTTTTTGAATATTCTGATTTTACAGATTTTCTTTTTTTTCATTGCCAAAGTAATCAATTTTCGATTTTTCAATTTTTCGATATGCAAATGTTCTGTTTTCAATTTTTCTATTTTTCAACTTTTTGGGTTAAATTTTTTTTTTCAATTTTAGATTTTTCAGTTTCCTGATTTTCCAACTTTTGGTTGTTCCGATTTTTAGATTTGTAGTTTCATGAGTTTTCAGTTTTCAATTTTTCCATTTTTATGTCTTCAATTTTCCATTTGCAATTTTTCATTTCGCTTTTTTATTTTCTTCATTTTTTCCTTTTTTGTGATGTGAAAATTTTGAATTTTTGTATTTTACAATTTTTTGATTTTCAATTTTCTCTTTTAAATTTTTTGATTTTTCAACTTTAAAATTTTTTAATTTTACAGTTTTCCGATTTTTCGATGTTACAGTTTTTTGACTTTACAATTTTGACGATCATATAATTTTCCGATTGTGCACTTCTTGGGTTTTTCAATTTTTCGATCCTATTCGTTTTTTCTTCATTCCAATTTTTCGATTCATTAATCTTTTTCGATTTTTAAGTTTCTAAATATTTAGTTCTTCCATGTTTCAATTTTTCGTTTTTTCAGTTTTCATTTTAAATATGTAATAATAATAATTTTTTAAATTGTTCACATTTTCAATTTTATGAATTTAGAATTTTTCGATTTTTCAATTACTGGGTTTTACAACTTCTTCATTTCTTCAAATTTTCGACTTGCAATTTTTTATCTCGGTTTTTTATTTTCTTTGTTCTTTCATTTTTAGTTTATTGGATTTTTTGATTTGCAATTTTTCAGTTATTCATTTTTTTTATTTCTTTAATTTTACGTCATGCAATTCTCAAAGTTTTAATTTTTTATTTTTCATTTATACAATTTTCCAACTTTTGCATGTTTCAATTTTTAGATTTTGCAATTTTTATATTTGCAGGTTAACGAGTTTTCAATTTCTCGATTCGGTATTTTTTTTCTTTATTTTTAAAATTTTTTGCTTTTTCAGTGTTCTTATTTTAGTTTTTCTTTTTTCAGTGTAAAATATTTCAATTTTTATATTTCTGAATTTTTGTATCTTACAATTTTTCGATTTGCCATTTTCTGTTTTGAATATTTTGGTTTTTTAAATTTTAGATTTTTTAATTTTTCTTTTTTCAATTTTAGATTTTTCAGTTTCCTGATTTTTCGACGTTACAGTTGTTTGACTACAATTTTGATGATTCTATAATTTTCCGATTATACAGTGTTTGGGTTTTCCAATTTTTCGATTCGATTCGTTTTTTCTTCTTATTTTTAGATGCATTCATTTTTAAGTTTCTAAATTTTTAGTTTTTCAATGCTTCAGTTTTTCGTTTCTTCAATTTTTCGATTTTTCATTTTTTTCTGATTTTTCATCTTTTCGAATAAAGAAAAATGGAAAAATTACGAAATTTGAAAATTGAAAGATCAAAAATGAAAAAACGAAAATGTATAAAATAAAAACTTCTAAAAATTGTCAAACAACTGAAGAAACGGAAAATTGGGAAGTCGAAAAAATGAAATGTGTATTGTAAAATTGAAATATGTATTGAAAACTAAAGAAATCAGAAAATCGGATAATTATAGATCCAAAAAGTCCAAAATTGAAAAATTTTTTGAATTGGAAAATAGAGGAACTGAAAAATCAAAAATTGAAAATTCGAAAAACTGAATAAATGAAAAATTATAAAATCGAAAGAAACATTGAAAAAATAAAGGAAATGAAAATACGAGAAATTGTGATACAACATCGAATAAAATCTAAAAAATAAAAAATAAAAATCAAGAACTTGGAAAATTGAAGAAACGAAAAATTGAAAAATCGAAAAATAAAAAATTGAGAAATTGAAAAATCGAAAAATGAAGAATTGTAATGCCAAAAAATTATAGTATCGAAAAATTGCAAAACAGAAAAATTGCAAAGCTAAAAATTGAATAGTGGAAAAATTGAAAAATGAAACAAAATGAAAAAATGAAAAATTGTGATATCAAAAAATTGAAAATCGAAGAAAAAGGAAAAACGAAAAATTGTGATACAAAAAATTGTTGAAA